CCCACCGTCCGGGGTGTGCACCCAAAGCCTCACTGCATGCACACACCCGAACAGCAGGCACGCTCCCTCCTTCAGGTGGAACGGCGACTGACTTCAGGCTGTGAACACATTCCCATACAATACGTCTCGCTTCGTGTCTTACATTCCTGCACTGAGTCTTTTCCAACACGCCTCTTCACTAAACTTCACTTAAATTATCTCTGCCCTTCTCCTTCCCCGCAGATACCTCCCGCCTCCTGGCCTTAATGACATTCCCAGCTCAACACGTCATCCTGTAGCATAAAATGATTGCAGGGTGTTGTGCGCTTGAGTCTTCTGTAGAGATGGAGCACCAGGTTTTTCTGGTGCAGGGTGGGCAGGAGGAGCATGCCATCTTCCCCTGGTGGGATTTAGAGGTAGGCCTCAGTGGGGTGACCATGTGGCCTTTCTCTTTGCCTGTTCTGGCGCTGCTGGTCCTAGTTCACAAGCTTTCTTCTGCCCTGCCTGATGGAGACTGTGTTCAGAAAAGACTCCACCTGTGAGACGTACTGGGGCTTTGTTTGATGGAAACTGATCTGGGAAGGAATAAATAAGAGTCTCCATGATTCAGATGGTCATTACCATGCAGCCTTGGGCAAAATCGTTCTGGGCGGCAACCAGAATTGTCTGTGAATCAGGGTGGCAGTTCATAGCACGGGAGGAAGGAGAGAGAGAAGGCTCACACCTCATCTCCTGCCCCCCTCCCTTGATGGACACTTCTCTCCCCTGACTACCTCCAAGCTTCTCAGCTCAGTCACTGGATATTTTTTCACAGAAGACAATCCCTGTGAAAATACTGCCCTTGCTAACCTTCCCACAGATCGAAGTTTGTGACTCTGGTGAAGAGAAGAGAAACGCACATGGCTGATGGGTAGGCAGTCCCTGCTGAGGCTCTGGGGCTCTTCCATTCTCTCTTGGCCCAAGCAAAGCCAGGATCTTCCCCTCTGCAAGTAAGGGGAACACTGTGGGAGAGGAGAGTCCACCCTAGAGTCCCCAGGAGTTGAGGTGGCAGAGCTGAAGGAGCAGAGGTGGCCATGTGAGGCCATGGGTGGGTGAACACTCCTCTCTTTCCATTTCCACAGACGTATGTCTCAATCTCTAGTCTTCGTCTAAATGTTCCACTCGTGAACTAAGAAGCTGCTGGACCAGATGAAAATATGGACATCTTTAACTCCAGTAGCTCCTGCAGATGCTGTGCTGTGCCCCAGGCCATTTGACCTCAGAGCCTTTTATTCTGACTGACAGATATCACAGATCCTCTGCTAACTTGTCCTACCTGGGCAATAATCCTCCAAAGAAATCTTAGCCCCATTTTTTTGTCTTTTCCACCCACTCAACTGTTTCAAGCAGATGTGTCCCACAAGAAACATCAAAAAGGCTTTCTAGGCCACATGCCTTCAGGGACTCTGCCACCACCACATTTCAGCAAAATTTCTTTGTGAAGGCACCATGCCCTGGATGGCAAAAATTTGTTCCTGGGCACCATGTGTTCCCATGGCTTGCTTTGTGTGCTGGAATGGGTTGGCAGCTAGAGCAGAGGCATTTCAGCACACACAGGTGTTCTTACATCATTTTTTTCCTTATCCCTCATTCTGAGAGTTTGTCACTGAAAGGACACTTGGTCCGGGACTGGGTGTCATGACTGACAGCCTGGTCCCCAGCACTTCGGGTCCCCGTGGTCAACATGTGACGATAATGGTAACACTTTCCTATTCCACAGAGGCATTATGAGGCTTCATACCATAATGTCTGTGAAGTGCTTTGAGACCCTCTCACAACGGACACTGTAGAACAGCAAAGCATTTTTATTAATATTGTTACCATGTATTAATATTAATTACCATTGTCCTGCCACATCAGGTTTGATGTGTTGCAATCCAGTGTCTGCCCAGAATGAGAGTGCTGGGGTGGGGGGATGCAGTTCCCCAGATTTTCCATTGCTCTCCTTCTGGTCAGGGTTCCTAGCAGGCAGCAGCTCTAAGGGATGCTGTTACCTGCACCTTGACCTTTCTGCTTTCTTCTCCTCATGTCTGAGTCACCGTAACGTTCCGCACTCAGGAGAAAAGCAGGAAGCAGTCACATTCTTCTGCACAGCAGAATATAATCTGCCTTGAATAATCTAATATACTCTGAAGAATTGATCTGTCTTTTTCTCCAACCCACAGGTGGAAACACACATCTGTGGAGCGTCCAGTTCCCAGGGGGCACGTGCAGGGACTGGGGGAGGGTAACGTAGAAAAGTTTGTATTATTTCCTACGAACCGATAATTCTTTGCGTTCCCCAAGCAGCAATACATAATAATGAGCTGCACTGGATTTTACACAACCCCCTCATCAATACAGATATATGTATGTATATGTATACACACACAAAGACATACATACACATACATACTGTAAAATGCGACCGTTAATTTCTGACTGACCCTGTACCAATCTAAGCTTCCAAACTATGTTGAATCATTCTTTGAAATGTGGAAAACTATTTTTAATGAACCACACAGATCACCACATGGAACAGAAATTTTATCATAAAAGTCTTCTAATGCCAGTGAATCGTGTTTTAAGGAAAAATGAAATATTTTTCAATGTTTTAATGTTCCTTTTATAAATGATGATCTGATACTTGGGGAAGGGGGTGGGTGGGTGGGAAGAAACAGGAGTAAGCCCTCCTCTCCTGGCCTAGATTTAATTTCTGTCTACTGTTCTGCTAGCCTGGCTGGCTGCAAAGCCGGTCCCATGAACCTGGGCTTCCTGCATGCGTATTTCTGTTCCTTCTGTGTCTATCAATCAGAAGCATTCCCACCAGGAATCTGCAAGAGCCTGGCATTAGGTTTCTGTAAGAGATGAGTAGTTCCTGGTAACTGGGAAGACGTCTTCATCTTCTTCCACAACAAACAAAATCGTCACGGAACAGGGTAGCTTTAGCCGTGTTTGAAGTTAAGTGTTCTAATTTGTGATCAATTTGCCATCTTCAGTTTATGTGACGGAGAAATAGCTTGTCTTAGTTTTGTTTAAGACTTAGTGCTTAATCTGGAAGGAGGGGCTCTGCTGAAATATAATTAACGCACACAGGTTGCACGTTCAAGTATATTTCAGACGAGTGAAAAGTCAGCGGGGGGAAATATGTGAGAAAGGGGCTTAAATACTTTCACAAAAAGTGTTGTTAGCAATAAGCCTGTGTTGGGGCTGCTTCTCAGAGAAGAGCCATGGCCGTGTTGTGTGTCCATAAGAGGAGGGTGGAAGGAATCGCCCCCAGATTCGGCCCTCCCAGCGGGTTCATGGCTCTCGAGGAGGTGCCCTCACCGAACCCAAACCCCAGCTGGGGAAACCAACCTACGCCTCAGCCGCTGGCAGTCCGGGGGCAAGGGGAGAGTTGGACGA